ATTTTACAGCTTTCTTCATTTTGTACATTTTTTCATCTTGGTTGTAATCCCTGTGGACTTCTCACCCAATTTACCCATGTGCCATCACCATATTCCTGGGTGGTCTTCCCACCTCAGTTTTGATCCTGTTCCCCTCTCTCTCCTGTAGAATGTCTCTGGTTTATAGTTGTTAGCTGATGTTCATTTTTACTTTATTGCTTACATTTTACCCATTGGAGAGTATATTTCAATGGGTTTAAGTTCATTCAGAGTTGTACAAGCTTCATGCAAATAGATTTAGAATACATTCATCATCCCAAAATGCAACTCTTGCCGATTATTCTACGATGCCCCATCTTCTCTAATTTGAAGTAAACAACCATCAACGCAATTTGCCAATTTTAGACATTTTATGTGAATGGAATCATCCAGTATGTGGCCTTTGGTGTCTGGCTTCTTTCACTTGGTGCGATGCTTTCAAGACTCCTCTACATTGTAGCATGCAGAACACTCTATTTGCTTTTAAGGCTGATTAGTTTATTGTCTAGTGATGTATAGGTCATTTATTTCTCCATTCATTAGCAGATCATTAGATGAGTTTTTTTTTAATGGAAGAAATGTAATTCCTATATATCTTAGGCATGAAGGAAAACATCTCTGCTTTTCATTATAGGTAGAGACAGCACACGCGGCTATGAAGACCTGCATCCCATTTGTGTTTTTTTTGGGTTTGTCCTGTGCTCTCCCAGTAAGTATCGGGTGGGAATATTGAAAAATGAGTTTGTGTACCTAAAATGCTGCAATTTTCATTGCCTATGAGCCAAGGAGGTTGTGTATGTTCCTGTCAGGTGAAAGTAAATAGTTGCTCAGGAAGTTGTTGCAACTGAGATGAAAAAGCATACATTGTAGAAAATGAAAAATGTTATAAAAAAAAATCATCAGACTTATTCCTTTTCTTTCCAGTTGCAATTCATCATATAGCTATGATTCTCATTTTTCTTCTTCATAAGCAGTGGCTCTCAAAGTGCCATTTCCAGACCAGCAGCAGCAACATCAGTAGGACTTAGTTAGAAATGTGAATTCTTGGGTCTACCTCAGACCTATAGAACCAGACCCCAGGGATGGGGCACAACAATCTGGGTTTTAACCAAGTTTCCAGAAGATTCTTATAAATATTAAAATTTGACTATTGGTTAGATAAAGTGTAATAGGCTTTGCCTTGAAAATTTTCCTTAGGGTTGACCATGTGCACTGAATTTTCTAGGTAGCCAGGTATCAAAATTCTGGATCTGAGAGCTCTGAAGAGTGGAAGGTGAGTAGAAATGACCTTTCGGAGGTAACTAGATAATAAGAGTTTTAGTTTGTAATTCACTTGATTCAATTCTAACTGAATAGTATAAGTTGAGGAGAAGGTATTTTTTCCCATAATGGATATTTATCATAGTGCAAGGGGCCACATGACAATGAACAATGGGCAATGATATGGACATGAAGGATTAAATACCATCTCCAGACATGGTTCTGCATGCTTTACATGTATTAACTTTGCCCATCTTTACAACTCAGTGAATTGGGTGTTGTACTTTACACTTATTTTATAAATGAGAATACTGAAACACACTGTTCTGTGTAGGTTACACAGTTAATAATTGTTAGAGCCTTACTTTGAACTCGGGCCCTTCTGGCGCCAGGATCTACATTCTTTACTACATTCTTTAATCTCTCTCAGGAAGGTGGCATGTTTAGGAAGTCAGTAAGTTCTCAAGATCGGAACTGCAAGTAATGATTAAAATCTTAGCTAAATCGGTGTTTCATTTATTACATCATTGATTACTGGCTTTTGCATATGGCATAGCCTGGATCTTAGCTTTTGGTGGTGGCTAGATTATGTCAGAGGTTGAGGATGGTGTCCTGTCTTTGAGGCTGTCTTTGTCTGAGCTCATGGATTTATTACATGAGCTTTAAATTGATGTGTCTTAGATTGGTTCATTTCAAAATAGCCACTGTTGATCCTACCTTTCATACAACCAGAGACAGTAAGATTACCATAAATATGCCATATGCTCCATTCTAGCTTTGGCAGGAGAAAAATTCCAACATCATTCTCTTTTCCACTTCTTAATTCCAATGGATAACTGCCTGGAAGAGAGCCTGGCATGTGCTGTCTGCAGTGCCACATGTCAAACACTCAGAGTCATTATAGATCTTTCTTCTGAAGTGATACACCCAGCCTAACACTGCTCAAAGGAATGGGGAGAGTATGGATTCTGATAGTTCACATAAGATCAAAGACAGTGAAATAGATCAGGACTATCACGAAGTTTTAGATTTAGTATTTGGTTTTAATATGGGAGATCTTTTGTGACTCAAAGATTTAGTGGCTTTCTCAATTCCATTTTGCTTACTATGGAAAATTACCAAGTATTCTCAAAATGGGTCATTTAGTCTGTTTATGTCACATTGAAGAGTTATAACATGCACCCATAGATTCAGCACACTGGGTACTCATTTTCTTACTTTATGAATAAGAAACTGCTGTCAGGTAAAGGGAATTGCCCAAGTTCACAGAGGAGCCAGCCAAGACACAGCGAATTTCATTGTTCATACCAAAACTGCTGGTTTTCAGGGTTAAAACTAAAACCAGTGAGCTCACTGGGGCTATATCTAGAGTTTGAATTTCAATGAAGTTCTTATTGTGTTACAGTTCCTCTAACCACTGTCTGAACACAAGCTTCAAAAAATGTGTTTTTCTCTAAGTGAGGTCTCAGAAATGCAAAAATCTCTCATAAGCACTTTTCGGGCCACTAGTCTCACATTCATTTTCCAGTCATTTCACCCTAAAATTTCATGATTAATCATTTAACTATGAATTCCATATCAAGAAATGGATGCGATTACCTAATTATTTTAAATATTTGTAATGACATAATCCAACTGTGAAGGAGTAATTTGTTTCCTTCCTTTATTGCAGGGTCATTTGACTCACACACCAACACCACCTTTGGTAAGTATTTCATTATTTTTGTTATAAACATCTTAGTACTCTTTCCATCACCTTAACCCATTTGGAAAGCAGTAGTCCAAGATATAAGCAATTAATGTGTATTATACGCATCATGCGTTGATTTTTTTCCCCCCTCAGGAATTACGAAAAAGAAAAAGAAAATAAACTTTTTTTTTTTACTTTTAGGAGAGCATTGAGTCATCAGAAGAAAGAGATCTTAACTCAGAGGAACAGGTAATTAACAGACCTCTTTTAACTTTTTTGGCTATTTAGGAATTGAAGGAAGTGATGTTAGACTAAATAACCTGGCAACTGCTCTAAATATAATATTTTCTAACCACTGGTTATGCAGCTAAATTGTCCCATGAAAAGAGAAGGAAAAATGAGTGGGAGAATGATGTGGACATGCTGTTCATTTCATATTTATCACTGGGGCCAGTGACATGGGGCCCTAAGTATCCCTCCTAGTTGAACACACACACACACACACACACACACACTTTGTAAAACATGTTTGACACTTAACAACTCATTTATCAATCTAAAATGTTGCTTTTACAATTGGAGCATTTCAGCTCAGGCACCTGTAGTCTCCTGGCTAATAGGAAGCACCTGCTGGGCCTGGAAGCTTCCACCTTGTCAAGGCTCCTGTTGCCAAGAGAACAGGTGGCCTTCAAGGAGCTTTAAAGAAATATTTACTTTAGTAATGGCTTTCTCTTTAAAATAGTCCCTTCTGTGGCCCTGGTGTTTATGTCCCTTTAATAAAAAGTCTTACTGCCCCTTTTCACTTATCTAAGACAAGTGTTATTACTTTCTTAGTTGTTCTAACATTTTACCAAATTTGTGGACCTCTCAAGATGGTAGGAATTAAGTTTCTCCCTGGAGCTTTGACCAGTATTACATTATATGCTCAACCAGGACTGGAAGATGAATCATTAGGATTTTTAAAAACTTTTTTATTTTTTTAATAATATAATAGTTTATTTTTACATCATTTTGTGCCTTTTCCATCTCAGTTGTAATCCCTGTGGGCTTCCTATCACCAAATCACCCATGTGTCATCACCATAGTCCAGATCACTTCCCTCCCCTCCCCCACTTTTGACCCATTCCCCACTCCACCCCCGTAAAATGTCTCTGGTATATAGTTGTTCATTATTATTTTTTTCCCCTGGTCCTTTATGCCTTTGCTATGAGTAAAACCATTAGGTATTTATCTTTTTCTTTCTGGCTTATTTCACTAAGCATGATCCCTTCCAATTCCATCCATGTTGCTGCAAAGGCATGAGTTTATTTTTTTTGATTGCTAAGCATATTCTATTGTGTATATGTACCACACTTTTTAAAAATAATATAACATTTTGTACATATTTTTTTTTCATCTCAATTGTAATCCCCATGGGTTTCCCATCACTGAGTCACCCGTGTGCCATCACCATAGTCCTGTGCACTTCCCTCCCCCCACCCGCCCTGTTTTTGATCCCATTCCCCCTCCACCCACAAATGTCTCTGGTATATGGCTGTTCATTATTCTTATTTTCTCGCCTGGTCCATTATACTCCTGCTATGAGTGAAACCATCCGGTATTTTTCTTTCTCTTTCTGGCTTATCTCACTAAGCATGATCTTTTCCAGCTCCATCCAAGTTGCTGCAAAAGACATGTGTTTCTTTTTTTTGGTTGCTGAGTAATATTCCATTGTATATATATATATGTACCACATTTTTTAAATCCAGTCATCTACTTTTGGGCATTTGGACTGCTTCCATGTTTTTCCAATTATAAATAAAACAGCAATAAACATGGGGGTGCAGTGTACCACATCTTTTTAATCCAGTCATCTATTTTTGTGCATTTGGATTGATTCCATATCTTTCCTATTGTAAATAGAGCAGCAATAAACATAGGGGTCCAGGTGTCTTTTTGAGTCAATATTTTTGTATTTTTGGGTAGATACCTAAGAATGGGGATTGCTGGGTCATAGGGAAGCTCCATGTTTAGCAGTTTGAGGAAACTCCAAACAGTTTCCCATAGTGGTTGTACTAGTTTGCATTCCCACCAGCAGTGCAGGAGTGTTCCTTTTTCTCCACACCCTCGCCAACCTTTGTTGTTGCTAGTTTCCAACAACATATATTTTTTTAAATTTTAGCTAAAGATTTCATTTTCCTGATCTAATATATATTTTCCCCTCAGAGTTTATTTGAAAAAAAAAACACTCAATTCATTTAAAAATTACTAAATACTGTGTTTTAAATCAAAAAGAAATTGATGAGTGAGCATTAAAAGCCAATTCTTTAAAAAAATTATTTATTATTTTTAATTTTTTAAAATATGTTCATTACATTACCCTTCATTTTTGTGCAATATATGATTTCCCTGTGAAGTTCCCATCACCAATTCACCTGTGCACCATCACCATAGTCCCCTGTGCTCTTCCCACCCCTGTCCTGGTCCTTCTTCCTCCTCTCCTACAGAATGTCTTTGATCTATAGTTGCCTGATGGTTTTTATTTTTACTTTATTACAGTTAATTTTTTTCTGATTCCTTTTTTTGTTTTCTCTACATACCTCCTATAAGTGAGACCATTTGATGTTTTTATTTTTCTTTCTGGCTTATTTTGCTGAGCATAATCCCTTCCAGCTTGGTCTATGTTGCTGTAAAGGGCAGTTTATCCTTTTTGATCGCAGAGTAATATTCCATCATGTAAATATACCACATCTTCTTGATGTAGTCATCTATTTTGGGGCATCTGGGTTGCTTTCATAGTTTACCTATTGTAAATTGTGCTGTATTAAACATAAGGGAGCAGGTGTCCTTTTGATTTAATGAAAAACCAACTCTCTAATCCACATGAAATTCTCTGAGTTTCCTTAATGGAATCATGCTTACAATAGGATTTGAGTTTCATAAGTGTGATTTCAGTAATATTTTTTTTGCTGAAATTTTTTGCAGTATTGAGCGAATTGTGTTTGTATCAAAGCGAATGACTAGGTTTCCTCTTCCTTCCTTCTAATCCCTGAATGAAGGTGTGATTAAGCAGTAAATCTGGCAATGATTAGAGGATGAGCACAGGGAGAACAAGGCAGAAAGGCCTAGAGGGGCATTAGATAACACCTTCTTTGATGTTCCTGGATTATTGACTGTGTCTCTTAACCCAAACTACAGGCAAACGAAGATCCCAGTGACAGTACCGATTCAGAGGAGGGTCCTGATAATCATCAATATGTATATAGATCAGCTGGTGGCATCTCTAGAAGCAGAGATGATAAAGATGATGATGAAGATGACAGTGGAGATGACACCTTTGGCGATGATGACAATGGTCTAGGATCTGAAGAGGGTCAAGGAGGCAACTCCAGTTTTAGAAGTGATGAAGACTCAGCTGACACCACACAGTCCAGGGAGGATAGCACCCCAGATACTACCAGTGAGAGCAGGGACCATGACAGTGAGGATGAGATGCACAACAGCCCCCATGGAGTTGACTCCCCCCAAGAGAGTCAGAGTGAGGAGAACAGGATGGGAGGCAGCAGTGAGGGGGACAGTAGCCATGGGGATGGCTCTGAGTTTGATGATGAAGGAATGCAGAGTGATGATCCAGAGGGCAGCAGAAGTGAGAGAAGGAGCTCCAGAATGAATAGTGCTGGTGTCAAATCAAAAGAGTCAAAAAGGAACAACACACAGCAGGTAGGTCCTACAGATTCTGGGGATAGCCAATCAGCAGATCATCCCAGCAGGAAATTTTTCAGGAAGTCCCGCATTTCTGAGGAAGACATTAGAGGTGAGCTTGATGACAGCCACACAACGGAAGATGTCAAGAGTGACTCCACAGAAAGCATCAACACCAAAGAATCTGGCTTCAGTCTGTCCAGCGAGAAGAGTGAGAGTGAATCTCGAGAAAACAGTGAGGAGAATCAGTCCCCGGAAGACAGTGAAAATATCCAGAACTCCAGCAGTGAGTCTAGTGAAGAGGTTGACCTGCCATCCCTAGAAAGCAGTGAGTCTCAGGAAGAGGTGAGTGAGTCCAGGGGCGATAATCCAGATAATACCACCAGTCAATCAGATCAGGAAGAGAGTGAATCCAGCGAAGAAGACAGCTTGAATAAACCCTCTGATTCAGAAAGCGAATCCAGAGAGAAGCAAGCTGACAGTGAATCAGATGAGAGCCTCAGAACCTCAGAGCAAAGCTCGGAGTCCACTGAGGAAAACAGTTCTAGCCAAGAGGAGCTCCAATCTGACAGCGCCTCAGCAGAGAGCCAGAGTGATGAAAGCCAGTCTGAGCAGAAAAGCCGGTCTGAGGAGGAAGATAGTGATTCTCAGGACAGCAGCAAGTCACAAGAAGAGAGCAACTCGACTGAGAGTGAATCAAGCAGCGAGGAAGATGGCCGCTCCAAAAACCCTGAGCGGGAAAGCAGAAAGTTAATGGTTGATGCTTATCATAACAAACCCATTGGGGATCAAGATGATAACGACTGCCAAGATGGCTACTAGTGTCAGCTTTCCCGAGAAGTGGCCCACACAGTCTAGGGAGCTAGAGCAGGGGAAATGGATTTCACTGTAATTTATTGATGTTTTTGTATCAGAAGGATAACCAGAAGCCATTTCTTTCTGAAAGGAAATAATGGACATTATACTTGTTTTGAGGGTATTAGGAACTGAAGAGGTTTAAATAACATGGAATGACCATGGAACAGACTCAATGAGACTGAAAGGAGGAATGTGCATTCTAGCTTTGTAGCTAAAATAGTTCATAACTCATTAACTTAACAGTTATTGAGGTTCTATTATATACCAGGCACTGTGCTAGGTGCTGAGGTTATAAAGAAACTTCATATTTGTTTCTTGCTCCTGAGGAGCTTATAGAAAGATACAACTGCAGAACTAAAGAGGGATTCATATGAAGGAAACAAGAATTATTACAATTCGTTGTGGCAAGCAAAGAACAGAGGTATAAACAAAATTTTTGGGAACATAGAAGGAGAACCAACTTTGTCTTGGAAAATCAGGTGGGCATTCACAGCAAAGACACTGGTGTTGGAACATTGCGCAGCATTTCTCTTTGTAGACAGAAGAATTATATTTATTATTGGTATAAGCAAAACTATATGGTTAAATATTTAATTTGTCAAAGCACTTTCAAATTATGGCATAATGAGGTGTTCTGGATAAACAAAATAATAAAAAAAGAATTATCCTTTATTATTATTTTTTTCTGGGACTCCCATGAACATTGCCTCACTAACCACTAGTGGTGATATGAAAATTGGGTAATTGGGTGACAGAGAGTAGTAGAAAGAAATCCTCTTTAAATAGATAAATTTAGCTTAATTTTTTCCCCTAAAATCATTCATTGTAGTACTAGAAAAACTCTTCTTTGAGTCTTTACATATATTGCACAAAGCAAAATCTTATGCATGAATTGAAATGTTACCTCAACATAAAATGTTTGTAATAAATATGATATCCAGAAGAAATGTGCTTGTTTTTGTTGTGATGTTGGTTACTAGGAAAAACAACTCTTCCTTTAAAACATTACAAAATAATTTGTTAGCATCATAGTAATGAATCCCGATGGGGCTATCCTAATATTACCTCAGTTAAAAATGTTAAATAAAAAAATTGAAACAAAACACAAAATGGACAATTTTCTTAAACAATGAAAACTTTATAATTCAGGAAACATTTTGATAAGGTTAATATATATGTTACTTATGATATTTTGCTAACTACACCTGCTATAAATAGGAATAAATGACACAAAAGCTTACCCTGTATATGACACAATGCCAAAAGTTTTTGGTGTTGGAGTTTAACATTCGTTTTTGCTCTCAGACTATCATTTGTACAGATTCTGGGAAATACATGGAAGCATAGTCTTTATATTTTTATTTCTTGGAAGGAAAATAATCTCCACCTCTGTATTTCTACTTTGCAAATGTATTTTTAGTCACACAGCCACCAGAATTCTTCTGTAAATGGATTAAAAAAATACCCAGTCTATAGGATGACCCTCTGATCCTTCACATAGCTGTTTCCTCTCAAAGGTATGATCACTTGGGGAGATTATGCATTATGTTACACACACACACACACACACACACGTAAAATATAAATACTTATATTTATAGTCACAGATATTTGATAGCGGTGCATCCTGCGAAATGCATCACTAGGTAATTCTGGCATGGTGGCTGTCGTAGAGAACTGCACAAACCTAGTTGAGACAGCCACCAAATGACTGAGCTGTATGCCACTGGGACCACCTGGTATATACGACTTGCCCTTGAGATTTTTGTTCAGTAAATTTAGAGTAAAATCCAGAGTTTTGTATTTTCAAAGGGGCCAACGAGATTCTGGTATAGCCCATCCATATAACCTCCACTTAAGTTCTCTGGTTCTATGGGCTGATTATCTGGATATGTTAACTTACAGGTTCTTGCCCACCTGCAGTACTCGTGAGGCTGACTGTCTCATGCTTGACTTCCTGTGTGCCTGACGCATAGGGGATCAGGCTTGGTCACTCAAATGGCCTGCTTCACCACTGGTGATTGTGTATGGAATGAACACCTGAGCCACGGGGGCTCAGCCTTTGGACCGGCTGGCAGCTTCAGGGAAGGAGATACATAAAGACCATGTCTGAATGAGAGTGCAGTGATTTGAGGACTACTTTGACTTCCTCTTTCTGGGAATTTGTATGTTTTTCGAAATAGATGTCAGAAGTGATCAGAAAAAAAAAAGGGGGGGGCGGGGATATACACAGAAATAAAAAGAGAAAGTACTAGAGCAAAAAAATGAAGATTATTGAGATCCTGATGCTGAGTGAGAAAATGGTAATTTTCTTGTGACAGCAATTTCCCAGAGACTTCAGATGTGGAGAGAGATTTAGCGTCATACCAGTGGGCTCAGTAGGATCAGTCCGTAAAGGCTGAGATCCAAATTTCAGGGGTTGTGAGGTTTTATCCAGGCTGCATTCTTTATGGTTTGGGACTGTGGTAAAGGTAGCCAGAGCCACTACTGTGGGAAAGCAGCACTCTGCATGGAACTTTCTGCTCCAGCAAGCAGCAGAGTCCAACAACAGACTCCCCCAAGCAGCAGACTTGGGAAAATTCCTGCTTCACTCTCCTATTCTTTTTTTTTTTTTTTAAGATTTATTTATTTATGCATACAGAATTAGGGTAAAGGCCAGAGGTACATGGCAATAAGCGAATTTACCAGAGACAGAGTGGGGAGCAGAGCAGACAGATCTATGAAATACACTGTTGAGGGGAGCAGTGGGCAGGTCAGAATAGGTCTTATGCACCATGTGGATCACCTCCGGGCCCGGGGATTGAACTCACACTGAAGTGGCCACAGCCAGCTTTGCAGTGCTGGGCTCTAACACACTGCGCCACCAGGGAGGGCCCCACTCTCTTATTCTTACTTGACCTTGACCTTCCCTTGCTCAATAGGTTCTTCTAAATTCCTGGGATATGCCTTCTCTTAAATGCTACCTTTTTCCTTACAATATTTCCACTTGTCTCGAGCCCACTGAGTGAGACTGTATTCCTTGCAACCAAAAGACCTAAAGAGATCAGACTCATAAGCTTATGAATTAAGATACCCGATACTCTTGGATCTTAGAACTAATCAAATTAACTCACAGAGCTTTCTGAAGGAAGAGCAATGTTGAGACTTTCAGCTATGTTCATGATAAAAATCATTTTAAGCAGATGTAGGACATTTTCATTTAAGTTTCCATCAACTCATTATGTACTAATGAAATAGAGACTTTGGTCCTTCTTGTAGAAGGGAGTAGTGTAGAAATATCACCTCAAGGGAAGCCTCACTGGACGTGGTCTGTCGATGTATCCTCACGGATTCTTCATTGTAGACTACCAGAAGTGGGGCCACTTGGAAAGCTAAATCACAAAGGAACCTGTTTTAAAGTTTATAACGGGAAAGAATAAGAATTTAAAAAGCATTATGGTGAATGTAAATGACTAACAGAGAAAGTTAGGTGACATGAATGCTTAATAGCACTGAGCTAAAATAAGATGTTGGTATGTGGAAACTTCACAGTTATTACTCAAACACTAGAAATATGACTTCTGCTTTCCTGGGACTAAAATTATGGGCCAGAATCTCAAGAAAAAATATTGATTAGTCAAGTACAATTTTCATATTGATTTTTATGAATGAATGTGGTTAGGTAAAGACATAAAAGTGTTTCTATCCTATTGCAAGCTAGTAACACTGGTTCTCAGCCTTGGCTGTGTATCATCAGTGGACTTTTATTGCTTTTTTTTTTTTTTTTTGAAATGTCTTTTCCCAGGCTCTATTCCAGAGATTCTGATTTAACTGGTCTTTGGCTATGCATCATACTTTAAGTCTAAAGTATAGACAGCATTGTGAACTCCTACTATAATATAACAGTTAATTTTGGAAACTTTTAATCATACTTGGGTTGCAGGGTAGGTTTTATTTTAGAAGTAAACACTAAGCAAACTCTGACCCTATAAGATATGCTGGATTCTTACATAATGTACATAGGCTGTTTCCTTTGCCAACACAAAATAAACTCAATGATTGAATAACTGAGCAGTTAGCGCTTGTCAACTCTCAATGGTGATGAGTTCAGGTATAACCAGTTATCCGAAAAAAGTGTGAAGGTATTTTTGCTTTTATGTCAACTGCTTACCCTAAAGCCTGTTGGAATATACATCAGTGAACTTTACTCTCATTGGCTTTCTGTCAGCATCTGTCTTTGGTCTTCATCAAAACAATCTTTTACAGGTTTGTGAATGGTTTCCCTCTGTCCTACTCTGTGATACAACAGATGGAAGAAATTACAAAAGAAAAAGTAGCTACAGATGCTAAGTCTCCTAGTCAGAAATACAAAACAGAAAACCTGAGTTTCCTTTTCAGCACAGCTTGTTATTTTAAGCAACTGAATATAAATTTAGTGTTTGGTCAGAGATCTTATTGTGTAACTGATATGAAATACTGCTGCTATCTTTTTCTGTAAGACAAGCCACCCTTTATAAATTGTCGGTCTAGCAAATTGGATATCCCCTGTGGGGAAGAGGGACCTGGCAGAAGGGAGGGTACAGGAAGTCTGACTGAGATATTGTTGTTGGATTCACATCTAACCCCACCCCAATGGAACTGCATAGCTCCCTCACATCCTTTCCAGGGTGGGTGTTCACTTTTTCCCACCTTCGATGTCCCTCCCAGGGCAGGTAAGAAGAAGCTGGGATAATGAACAGGGACCTTACTTAGGGAGAGAAAGGACAAAGCTTGTTCTTCTTCAAAATGACAACATCAGATATTTATCTTTTTCTTCGTACTTACTTCGTTCAGCATAATTCCTTTCTACTTTATCCAGGTTGCCAGAAATAAAGTGAGTTTATCTTCTTGATTGCTGAGTAATATTCCATTGTGTATATATACCACATCTTGGTCCATTCATCTGTTGGGGGGCATTTAAGTTGTTTCCATATTTTGGCTACTACTGTAACTAGTGCTTCAATATACATAGGAATGCAGGTTTCTTTTAG